ATGTGCTTGTATGATACTAGCTCAGTACCCGGCCCGTTGGCCGGATGCATTTCACCAATAGTAGAAACAACAATGCAATTGTTCAAGTATCGTATATTTTTATCTGGTATCATAATAGAATTCAAATTATTATTCAATTATTGGGAAAAATAGGAAAGACAAATACATTTAGTTGCATGTATTTACGTTAAGGGTTAACTATGTGATAATCATTATGATTTATTCATTATATAAATTACGGATTGATACATTATTGGGATATTTTTTCTGACATAATGTTAATGTAATGTTATATTGGTTAATCCGGTTAACCAACTAACCAAATCAATTAAACTTAGTTTGGATAATTTGGTTGTTGTATTAGTTTGGTCGGTTGGTTTTGATATTTTGTTCTTTGGTTAATAGAATTTATGTTTGATTGATTTGGTAAATACCATGATAACCATTTGAACATCCCTAATTACCATATTCTTTTATCTTCTTCTGTATTTTAATAAAGCGAAACTTTAATGATTAAATTTTTTCAAATTTTAACCATCATTTCCATCCAAGTAGAATTTTAACCATATCTCATTCAAAAGGGAAATAAATCGACTACTGATTATGCTAGGGATGGATAATTGTATATATATTGGGTGCTAGTAAGTTTATTTAGGATTCCTGTGGGGCATGGGTCAAGCCCACAACACCCACTTAATCTATAAATTTGCAATTAAAGAAAAAATTAGCGGAGATATATATGGAATTACCAAGCAACCCTCCCTAACTATGCGGAGAGGCCTGCAAATATTGAATTAAGGAGGTTCCAGCGTAGAATCTCTATATATTATTGGTAGGAGGAGGAGGTAGGATAGGAGGAGGAGGTAGGATAGGAAGTGGTCCAAGTATCAAATCAAGGCCAAGCCCATATTACACTCTAGGGGAACCCAAATAGAAGATGAATCAAACTGAAGCACAGGAAGAAGGATTGCAATTGCAGGGTAGAAAAATGATTGGTCCAAAATGACCAGAGTCCTTCCTTAGATTGCGCAGAGAGCTAGCTTTTTACAATTGTGCATGTTCTCATGGGGAACATCTATATAGTATTGGAAGGATTTGTTCTGATTTTTAAAATTGGAAGGTACTTACTATACATTAATATTCGAGCTAATTTGATGCTCAAAATATAAACGATTTAGCTAAAGTTAGACTTCGCTTTTTATTTTAATCGGTCCTTTTGAAATATAGCTTTTTTGTGTTGCATTAGGACTAATCTTGTTCAATTAGGTGTTAAGTTGCCCTCGACCATGAATGGATCAAGTCCTTGTATCATTTTAACTTCGTTGTGAGTTTTTATTGACTTTTCTATATTACGCTTTGTTTTCTGCTTCTATATGGAGTGTTGTTCTTCACTTCTTCTTGTTTTTCGCTTTCGTTTTGTATAATTGCTAATTCCGAATTTTTGTATGAGTTCTCTTTCCTATTGCTTTCATCAATATCGCACTTAAGAAATTGTCTTAACACACACTTTACACTCATTAAGTCGTAATACAAGAGGATTGCAATATCTTTTGGAAAAGATTTGGTGGGCGAGGGAATGAATGTATTTGCTCTAGGGGTGGAAAACGGTGCGGTTGCGGTTAACTGCACCGAATAAGCGCGGTTAACCGCCACCGCACAAGGGGAAAACCACCCACCGTTACCGCATTGTAAACGGTTTGCGGTTAACCACTAACCACAAATCGCGGTTAGCGGTTAGTTGCGGTTAACTGCACTTCAAACCGCACACCGCGATAAGAGTTAAACGGTGCAAAAAACCGCAAAATGGAACAAAACCGCATAAAAAAACCGAATTAACCTGTAAAATTCAGCAACATGCACTTGAGAAATTAACACTAAAACAAGTAAAATGCACATGGAAAAGTCTGAAACATATATAAGTTCTAGACATCTCAAATAAATCATACACATTAAGTTCTAACAATCCCAAATGGAAAGAGTTTGAATTTTGGGCTGTTGGATGGGTTGGGCTTGGGCTGGGTATTCCTTTTATGCGGTTAGTTATTCGGTGGGGTTATTTGTTCGGTGCGGTGTGCGGTTAGTCCGCAAACCGCAAAAGGGCCAATTCCACTAACCATTACCGAATAAAGGCCCTTTTAAACGGTTTGCGGTTAACCACAAACCGCTCTTATTCGGTGCGGTTGCGGTTTAACCATAAAACCGCAACCGTTTTCCCACCCCTAATTTGCTCAACCCAAAGGTACCTGCTAGAATTGGCTGATTCAGTATTTAAAAAGAAAAATTGAAATAGAGACTACACTTTACCTAATGACTTTTTAGGTATTTCTTTATCGTAATTATGTTCCAAGTTTGACAATTGGATGTATAGGAAACGGCGTGTTTCACGTGGCATATAACCATAGTGTATGTGATGATGTAGGGCGCCTTCAGAGGCAGACTACGGGAGAAAAGGAGGCTTAACTACTACCACTACACTCTTAGCATACCAAAGTAGAGAACAAATAACGTATTATTAGGTCATTTACTATTAATGACACAGGCTATGTCCATGATCTCAACAGATAATTTATTAAAAAAAACTTTATTTGCGATCAAACATCTTTTCTCATAATTGTAAAGAGACCATCACAATGGTTACAAGGGGGTGAGACCATCTCCATCTCCTTTCATATCCAATTGCTAAAACTTAAGTGACATGTGTTTGGTAATTGCTAATTCAATTGCAGCAATGTGAAGTTAATTGCTAACTTAGCAATCTTACTAAATAAGCAATTTCATTTGCAATGCCACATGAGATTTTATTTACCTTTTCTGGTTATAGTTTAGATATGCTAGTTTTTTATAATGGAGGAATTGTTTATACATACATATTGATCCCCAAAATAGAAATGGCTAAAGCATTGCAATGATGTGGATGACTTGAAAGAGTTATAGCTTAAGTGGTTGATATGACAATGGGACTCATATATGAAATTGTTAATTAATTGCAATGATGGAGATGCTATGAGGAATGACCTATGATCAAGGATTGAAATACCGTACCGGAGGTTGTAACGAAAAAGTCAACCGTAGGATATTTTATGTTAAAATTGTGTTTTAACCGTGGTTCAACCGCTTCATACTGCTAAATACTTCCTACCGATTTCGCTTCCAGTAAGAGGTATTTCTGGTCGAACCGCCGGTACGGTCACTACAAGAAAACAGACATTTAGTGTCGGTTGTTTTGTGTCGGTTCACTTAACCGACGCTAAATTTTTATTTTGCGGCGAAGATTTATGTTGGTTACTCAACCGACACAAAATTTAGCAAATTTGTGTCGGTTTCAACTTTAACCGACACAATTCTAAGCGATTTGAGTCAGTTGATACCCTAACCGACACAATTTACAAAGGTTTGTGTCGGTTGCTTTTCTAACCGACACAAATTCTGGCAATTTTGAAATTTTCACAAAATTTAACTTGGTTTTGGCTCTAAAAAATTTCACTGGCCGCCCAAAGTTCCCCCTCTTAACAATTGAAATTTTCCCTTTCCAATACAAGATCAAATAAAATCTTTCTTCTTCTCATATTCATCGACCTCACTCTTCGTCTTTCACCATTTTTTACCCTCTTCTTCCATAACAAAGGCGACGACACATCCCTTCCACATCAGCCCCTCCGCCTTGCCGTCGTCGATCCGACAGGATCTCTCTCTGTCACCTGAGTTCCATCCAAGCCGATCCACGCCAGACCACCTCCTCAACCGTCGCCGCCCCGAGCAGATCTACCTCCATCGACGTCGATTCCCTCCACAACATATGCTTCCTGTATTCTCTGCCGGCGTCGTTTCCCTCTCCCACAACCTGCGCCTAACTAAAATTTCCTTGGCTACATCCTACAATCTGCTTTTGGGAAGGGCAATTTGAGAAAGGGTAAGAGGGACGAAGACTGGGGAAAACGCAGATCTGTCGGTGGGTCGCCAGATTTGGGTTTGGAGAACAGCGGTCGAGTTTGCTCTGGCGCTGATTCTGGCGAGACCAGTTGGTTTCTTTTCTTTTTTCAATCTGTAGGGAACAGAGCTGATTCTGGCGGGAGGGCGAGAAGGCGACGACGGCTGGTGAGTAAACAGGGTAAGCGGGACTCTGCTTCTCTGATGCTACAGTTCCAGATGGAGGGGAGGAAGGCAAGGTTCCGAGGCAAATCGACGGCGGCGGTCCAATCTTCTTCCCCCTTCCTCTAGCTTCCGCCGATTCTTCACCCACGGCGGCGACTAGACGAAGCTCGAGATAGAGACGACAATTCGCGGTGCAACTGTGTGGCTGGAAGAAGAAGAATAGTCGAGCGGCGAGGGAGGCGGAGGGGTGCGGTGCTGATTGCAGAGATCGACGAAGAAGAGATGGAAATATATTTTTTTTATCGTTTTTTGGGCTTTGGGGGGAATTATCTTCCCCAAATCTGGAGACCAAGCGACAATTGCTTCCGTGGGAAGCTTTTATTTTTTATTTTTTTTTCTAATAATTTGTGACGGTTATTTTGAGTCGGTTGAACCGACATAAATAATTAATTAATTTTCGAAATCAATTTTTCTTAATGAATGTGTAGTGTTAGTTAAACCGACTCAAAATAACCGACATAAAAAAATTGTGTCGGTTATTCCGGCGGTTGCTCAGAATTGACACGAATCAGGTTAGTGTCGGCCGTTTTTGTGTCGGTTAAGTGAACCGACACGAAATTGTTTAGTGTCGCTTATAACCGACACTAAACATAAGAAATAACCGACACTAAACAATAGTTTTCTTGTAGTGGGTACTGTATTTTGTGAAGCCCATAATCCTTCTTTGACAGCTGGGCCAGATTTATCAAGCCCAACAGGACAGCCCACGGATCCGACCAACAAATGAGGCATACCTTCCCGCCGAATTAACGAACGCGTTTACACTTGTCATTTACTGAGTGGTCCACGTATTTTGGTTCGAAGCCACTTATTTAACTATTTCCTTCACTTTCCCCTTCCTGATTTCCCTCCATTTCCTCGCCTTCTCGATTCCGCCGGCGACTCTGGCGCGCTTAGCTCTGCGCTTCCGCACGACGCCGGCGCTATTTAACAGCCACTTTCCGTTCAACCGACGCTTTCGTGCGTTATTCACAATGGCTTCTTCCTTGGCACCCCCTCCGGGCCAATCCGCTGCCGTGCAACCGGGTCGGATCCGGGTCCTCAAAGAAGGATCGGCGAAGCAAATGGGTCCTGTTGTGTACTGGATGTTCAGGGATCAACGCCATAGGGACAACTGGGCTTTGATACACGCTGTTGATCAGGCGAACAAGCGGAATGTCCCCGTGGCGGTTGCTTTTAATCTGTTTGATCAGTTTTTGGGGGCAAAGGCTAGACAATTAGGGTTTATGCTGAAGGGTTTGCGGCAGGTTCAAGTGGATATTGAAGAGAAGCTTCAAATCCCGTTCTTTTTGTTCCGGGTAAGGTTTATTCCTCCTTTGGAATCAGACCCATTGCTACATTTTCCTTCGGAGGTCTTGTTTGAAACATAATTCTGCATATGATCTATTGCTTAGGGAGAAGCTGAAGAAAATGTGCCAAAGTTCTTAGAGGAGTGTGGTGCATCACTTTTAGTGACTGATTTCTCACCTTTAAGGGAAATTCGCAAGTGTAAAGAAGAGATCCTGAAGAGAGTGAGCGATTCGGTGACAATTCACGAAGTTGATGCGCACAATGTGGTGCCACTATGGGTAGCGTCGGAGAAGTTGGAGTACAGTGCTAGGACCATACGGACCAAGATAACGAAAAGGTTACCAGAGTATCTCATTGATTTCCCTGTGTTACTTCCACCAAAAGCTAAGTGGGTTGCTGCCAAAGATCAAACTGCTGTGGATTGGGATAATATCATCCTTGAGGTTTTGAGGTTAGAAATTGACTCGTTTCTTCTAATTGTTTTTAGGTTAAGTTGTGCACCGAGGGATTAGAAATTTGATGTCCTGATTTTCTCTACCACAGGAAAGGAGCCGAAGTCCCAGAAATTGAATGGTGCATACCAGGAGAAGATGCTGCAATGGAAGTATTGATGGGGTCTAAAGATGGTTTCTTGACCAAAAGGTTAAAGTTGTATTCTAGTGATCGGAATAACCCGTTAAAACCTAAAGGACTCTCTGGGTTATCTCCATATCTTCATTTTGGACAAATATCTGCTCAGAGGTGCGCCCTAGAGGCACATAAAGTGAAGCTGCGGAGCCCCCAGGTTTGTTAGATTATGCTCTTCAACTTGAAATTGCTTTTCTATATATGGACCAATTAGCTGCCACATTTGATTAGTAGCTGAAATTTTTTGTATCTGCCTGCTGCTTTGAAGTCGGTCGATGCATTTTTGGAGGAGCTTATCGTGCGCAGAGAACTTGCTGATAACTATTGCTACTACCAGCCGCACTATGATTCACTGGCAGGGGCATGGGAATGGGCAAGGAAGACCTTGCAGGATCATGCTACTGACAAGAGGGAGCATGTCTACTCGTGTGTACCGTTTCTCTCAGTCTTGTGTTTTATGTTGTCTCAGTTGGCAGATTTCTTAATACTCGCTATTGACACTGAATCAAATATTAATAGGTTGGAACAGCTAGAGAAGGCAAAGACAAGTGATCCTGTAAGTTGGCTGTGTCCATACCATATTGCTACGGTCAGCTTTTTGTTTGTCCTTCTGGATTTTATTCTTATATGTGCACTTAAACTTCAGCTTTGGAATGCTTCTCAACTGGAGATGGTCGTATATGGAAAGATGCATGGATTCATGAGGCAAGCAACCTCTTCCTTTTTATCATTCTTTAACACTTGTTGCATTGATCTTTTAGCAACAATTGGAGGCAGTGCTGTACCATCCTGACCAGAATTGTGTCACTAGCTGCTGTCTTTTTTATTTTTCTCATGATGCTAGGAGGCCAGAACTGAAATTTATTTCCATTCATCATTTAAAGCGCGATTAGATACAATCGATGCAGAATGTATTGGGCCAAAAAGATACTGGAATGGACAAAAGGACCAGAAGAAGCCCTGGCAGTTGCAATACATTTAAATAACAAGGTAGATGGCCGGCTGCTGTTAGTTAGGTCGTTATCAACCATATGAATGTTCAGCTGACGCTAACAATAATCGTTGCAGTACGAGATAGATGGAAGGGATCCAAATGGATACGTTGGTTGCATGTGGTCAATATGCGGTGTTCATGATCAGGTATGGGTTCTATCATTTCGCTCTCATATAGTTCCTTACTGCACAAGGCATAGCTCATGCCTCAAGTATACAGATAGAAAATGCATTTGCAACTGCATCCTGTGTCTTCATACATACTCTACACAAGTGTAGCATATTACCATTTGAAGTTTGTCTCTGTTGTTGCCATATATAGGGTTGGCGGGAGAGATCTGTTTTCGGAAAAATACGGTACATGAACTATGCTGGTTGCAAAAGGAAATTTGACGTCGATGGTTACGTTTCTTACGTGAAGAGGCTGGTTGGTGAAGTGAAGAAGAGGAAAGCAGAGTCTGAACTTTCCAGAAATGCCAAGGAACTGTGTCGTTAGCCTTTGGCTTCTTCCTTAGTCGGCACCTGCCAGACTCTCCTTCTGGTTTCTGCTTTGTTGTAGTCTAACATGCCCCTGGAATTGTGTGGTTACACACCTGAATGAATGTTAATCAACATATTCTCTACTCACATTGTTTAATTGGTGTCTGATTATGCATACAGCTTGCTCGGATTAGCGATGTAAGACTGCAATGGCTGTTCATTTCTAGCTCTTGTGATTCATAAGACCATCTAGTGTATCAATAGGCAAACATAGTTACACATAACGACTGAAACTAACTTTATCGAATACACAAAGTTAGGTGGAATACACAAAGTTAGGTGGATTCATGTCGACGAATCCATGCTACACGAATCAGGAATCACAAGCAGTATGTTTCTTTCCTATTGGTTAGTAGCAATATATTTATACACAAGAACTCCTCTGGGAATGTCTGTATCCTGTACCTCAAATTACAATGAAAATCAATGAGAGAAAAACAGCAGAAGCTACAGCCTGGATATCTTAACAAGCTTACGCCGAAATAGCACCGCTATAATGAGAATAGGGAGACCATAAGCACTGGACATTTTACATGAGATGCTAAAGATGAACAATGGTAGATACACAATGTGATTAATCAATCTAACAGTACAGACACCAGGTGAATGGCCATTTCCTGTTTCAGGTTTCTATCAGACAACAATGTAACCATGCTTTCATATCTCCAGATCGTCCAATGAAAGTTCATGTGCCGTCAAAAGTTTAAGCTTCTGCAATTTTCAGAAGCCTTAGGGTCAATATTTGGCACTTATAACTTATAAGCTATAAGGAAGAGTGGGGAATTATTGTGACAATATCAAAATATACCGTGATGAAATTGGGAGGATCATCAAGACTGGTAGAACCTAGCACGACTTCTCTTTGCAGCTTGCTTGTCAGCTTGTGACAAGCCCGAAGCTATGACAAGTGAAGAACAAAGAAAAGTAAAAGTTAGATGAAAGGATGACAAGTATCAGTGTGATGGCAGACTGGTATATTGAGTGGGCTTTATAAATCATACAAACCTCAGATCTCGTAGCTCCACCAACGATGAACACAAATATCCGGCGGCCCATCTTCTTGAAGTCACTAGATGCATGCCTTAGCACCGACTCACTGTATGCATGATATGAGTTAGATCCAACAGGAGGAAAATCAACGGAAATGTTTGTTATGATTCTGTTTTTTCCTATAAGGCGATGAAGAATTTATCAAGGAAAAGGAGGAAGACAAAGAAGCATATATAGAGGTCATGGAGAAGGCCCACAACGGACAGAACTCCACAAAAGAGTGAAAGGCCTTAACGTGGAACATGGAACATAGTAATTAACCAAGGAGCAAGCAAAATGCACCCAAACCAGAAAACGGTCCCCAATCACGAGCAGAAACTAAAACTAGCAACAGCAAACTGCAGAGCGACACCAGTAAACATAGGCCAACATTTGGGGCCCAACAATCACTCTGATATAATGAGATAAGAGAAAGAAAATGAAAATGGCATTTCACCAACTGGTAGATGATAGTACAAGGATGCATTGTGTGTTCTACAATGCCCTGTTACCTTGAATAACCATCATCGGAGTGTCGAGGGCGAGCCCATGTTGGTGTTCGTCTTGATCGCATGGAGTGAGGAGCTGGAGAGCTATTCATTATCGCAGCGGGAGATGTACCGTGAAAGGTTGCACTCGGGTCGTTTAGACACGGGTACTCATCTTTTGACAATTCCCCCTTGCTCAGTTTTTCAACAAGTTCCTGAGAGAAATCGTGGAAGAAGATGGGTGAGAACCGAACACTTCCAAGCCACAGTGAGTAGAGTAAGAAAATAAAATAGAAGCCTAATCAGCGCATACCTCTACCATGGGGTAAAACCGGGATAGCTGCCATCCTGTTTCTTCCTGGCCAGCACGGTCTTTCCTTGCTGCTCGCTTCTTCTGAATAAGATAGGAGAAAAGAAAGTAAGACTGATTGCTTCTAAATTACAATCTCAACAAGTTGAAACCACTATTTTAGTAAAGAAATATTTATCACCTTTATATCAAACTTCAGACTGAAACTAGCAGCTGAGCTTTTCTTAGTCTCTGCGGCACCGCCAAGCAATCTCATGTTGTTTACAGCATTCATGTCGTCTTGCGATAACTTAGCTAACTGCAAGGCATTCAAATTAATAGACCAGTATATGCCACCAAGCACGCACACCATGAGAGTGAGGTACTGCAATATCAGTTTTATACATGTCTTTTGTATGTAGAGGAAAAAAGTTCAAATATGTTCTCTTAATGTAGATAGGATCAGAGGATTTGGAAGGTAATGCATTGTTGAACAAGAAAGCCAATAAAAAGAGGATTACCTTCATTAGATTAAACCCCTTCTCCCCCTCAAACTTCTCAGGGTATATTGCTGCAAGAATCATCAACAATCGTAGCTTGTTTTCACGGCTTGCATCCTGCATAGGACATTGCAACTATTAAGGGTCGCGACCAGCAATAGTTTTCCACTGTACATCTTTTAGGAAACCTGCTTACCTCTTTTGTAGTCAAATACTTGATAACATCCTTTGTCCCAGCATCTCCGAATACAAGATCTTGCTCCAATTGTCCAAGGTCTCGAAGGCCAGAGTCCTTGATAATTTGGTTAACTTTCCCTGCGATCTGCACACGACCCTTGTGAGGAAACCATATGTAGAAAAAGCTCAAGTGTCCGAAGTAAAGGAGCACACCTCTACATGAAGAGAGAGCTTTTCAATTTGCTCACTGTATTGCGGTAATGATTGAACCATCCTTTGTAAGTCTCGTGTAGAAAGTTCGCCACCATCTCTGCACAATATCAAAATTTAAGCCGAGAAACAGTTCCATCAAACAAAATAGAAGTCTAAACTACAAGCCCAGTTTTTATGTCACTATCAGGACCTTTTCACACCAGATGTACAAATATGCAGAGCATCAGTGATAGCAAACTCCAAAGATCTAATCATGATTCAGGGATAAGCATGAATCAAGCAGAGCAAGAACCTGACCCACTATATAAAACAATTGACCAGTGACTCATTAGATAAAAGAAAGCTGTATGCATTCTTATATTGTTCTCAACTAAGCAGAAGAGAAACTCTGGTAGAAAATAGGATATAGCGAGACTAGAGAAGCATATATTGGCTATTTATATTAACATTGCAGTCAGCACAGCTGATGAGTCAAACTAGCAACAAACCCAGCACCAACAAGTCACTACGAAAGGCCCAGAACAAGAATTCACAAGCGGCTTGGATCCAACCATCTTTCTTTTCTCTTGCAAATAGCTGTACTGGGATAATATCCATGTCTGCTGCTATATAAAGCTACCTTTGGTAATGAATTATCAGAAGAATTTTGCACCAACCTTGAACCATGTTGGATCTGTGCAGCTTTGTTTTTTGATACAAAATTTGTCATCTTGTCGTGCAACCTCACACTGGCCTGCACAGGCAACATATCCAAAGGTGATTAACTGGGAACCTAAAGACCGCAAAGAGTACTAACCACCAACTTACATCTGCAATATGTGCATGGCGAAGCTCGACCCACACAGGATCATGTTCCTCTAATAGGACCTCCTTTTTCTCAGGCGGAGCACCTGATTTGCTGGAAACCTAAACAGCAAAACCCTTGAGAATTGATTCCTCAAACTGTTTGTACTATTATAAATTTATACTACGAATTTTAGGAGGAATGAAAACGGATATGCTGTTATAAAATACCTCATGGACATATTTGTTGCCCTCCATATTTAATAGATCATGGCATATCGCATCATATGTCCACTCATGAATGATGGGAGCAATCTAGCACCACAAAGAGAACTGTATCAACATATAACCAAACTATGGTATGACTGAATAATCAGCTCAGGCAATTAAATATTAATACCTGATCCACAGATCTATCAAGGATGAGTAAGTCACAAGTTTCAGTCTGAGGGAACTGTTCAATCTTTTGTTTATGCTGTGAAATTCGATCCCAGACTCTAGCAGCAAGTTTTGTGGTAATAAGATCACGAGAAGTAGTCATTGTCGTCACGTCAAGCGACTTGGCAGCACGATATCGCACATAAGGAAATTCCTATAAGTTGGACAGATATATGAGTCAATATATCATTGAAGCAGCATAAGTAACCGGGGAAACACTCTTTAACATACCCTTAGTGAAGCAAAAACCGTCGCTATCCGAGTAGCAATGACACTCAAAGCTGCGTCACCTCTTCGGGAATCTTCTTCATCCCCGAAAAGCTCTTCTAAAGCCCTTTCATGGTCAGTTAGGAAAGCCTGTATTGAGACATGAAAAATAAGGATGAGAGAGAGAAAGAGAGAAAATAAGGCTCAGACAACATGAATGCCAGAAGATTATTTACGACTCCGTCAGTTCTACAGAATATAACTCTAAGCATGTTTGTCTAAGCATCAATTGCATCTACCGTTCCATTGCTGTTCAAGACTTCAAAAATCAATATATTTACACAAGACTAAGATAGCATCCAAAGCGCCGGGCTATATAAATAAAACCAACAATAAAAGAAAATTACATAATTTGATTTGTAATGTGGGACAGACCCAAGTACTAGAAGAAGTGGACAAACATACCTGGCTATCTATAGCAAAATACTCCAAATTCATCTGCACACAAGCTTTAACTTAGTTAACACTTGAAATAATACATACAAGCTGACAACAAATTACTCTGGAACACATGTGGATAAATCAAAAGATCGACTAGTCAGGGTAAGAAATGCCTACCTCTCTCAAAGCACCAATCCGAGGTAACACAGTGCCATCTCTTTTGATATGAGTTACCAAATCCCGGGAGACAGATGAACTAAAGAAAACATAAGCCCTTCAAAATGCAGAAAATAAAATAATTGTCAGTAGCGAGCCATGGAATTGTACGAACTCTGACAAGTTAGCCTAAACGGTCCAAAAATAAAAACACAAAATTTGTTTAACATACTTCTTGTATAAGGGTGATTTCCCAGACATGTCTGACAGGAACATGATAATGCTGCAAAACAGAAATCGTCAACATACAATAATCATTCTAATGCCTGGGAAACAAAGAGACGCCAAAATATGAAGGCAATGGTATTCAGGAACACAAAAAAGAGCAGTTGAAATTCAGCCAAAGAATATTACTTCTCTTTAGTCGGTTGGATGAAGTATATGGCTTCCATGGAGGGTAAAGGCTGTCTTCTTTTGTATATATCCTCCACCACTACAGGACGAAGACGAAACATGAAACAGTTGATTTACCAAATTATTATGGTAGTAATACTAAATTAAAAGTTCAGAATCAATGTACCTTGAAGCTGAACTTTTCAATTTAATACATATACAGATAAACCAATGACAGCATATGTTTAAGAAAGCTTTCACATTAAGACAAAATATTGCTCCAGATCTTGGCTAGTCCTCGATGAATGTATAACATGAATATGTCTCACTGAATAGTGAACTTTCAATAACATAATTTGCAGGAATCCTTTAATTTTGGACGAGTCTTTAAAATTCTTACATGAAACTCCTTCCTGCGTGATGTCTGCCATCTTGCATGCATAAGACATCATCTTCACAGTAAGTTTATCCATGATGAGTACCTATTGTACATGGTCAAGGAGCAAAGGGTAAGTATGAACCAAATATTCACAATTTAAATAAGACAAATATGAAGGAGACAACATGACCAAGCCGATTGGGATCTGTGGTGATTAAGTGTAAAGCGAAAAAAGGCTTTGTTCCAGTAAATGATATCTCCAAGAAGCACACTTAAGCTGTGAATTATAAGGGAGTGCCTAAAACTCTCTTCAACACAGTTTTTCATCATTGCTTGACCTAAACCCATTCAGCAAGCACTGGCTCTCTGGGTAGCAGCAGTTAGGAGGGACTTTTGACGACTAATAATCAACAACTACTACGTTGAAAACACACAAACAGTACGGACAATGTTATCGCAAAGAGCATACTGCTACATCAAAACCAGTCAGCAAACATGCTCGTGCAACTCAATAAGTCTGAAGACACTGAATTAGTTATCGCAAAGAAGGTAGCTGCTAAAAGCACCATGATATCAAAATATGGTATTACATTAATTGTCGGCAAAGAGCTCAATAGCAGAGCCATGATACGTAACTTATTAAGGATTATCACTGGAGAAAGCTTTAAGAGCTTTGTAAAATAGAGAAGTTAAAATACCTTCCAGGTTGACCTTGAGTCCCCTGCTTTCGCCGATCGCAACATTTCTTGTAACAAACCTGAATTTGCAATTGGGGTAGATGCGGTTACCGGATAAGGAAGAAAACCAAGTAACCTCTACATTATGACAAATAAAGCTGATATTTCAAAAGATGAAAAGATCACTGCAATACAACAATACCCTGCTACTTTTGACAACAACAAAAAAAAAATACCCTGCTATTGCTAGCAGAGCAAACCTTTCTGCCCCTTCAACAATCCTAATCCTGGCTACATCACTGTTTTGTCAAACTGCTATAGGATTGCTCATCACCACTACCTCGCATCAACTTGAGTTTCCACACTCACATAGTGCCCAGTTCTGGATCACCTGGGGCACTAGCTTTCCACAAGTAATCAAACCACACAGAAAATTTTAGGCACTATGCCATCACAAACAACAGCACCTCACTCAAGCAAGAATAAGGGGAAAAGGGGATAGAGAAACACAACCACCATTGCATACAGGATATGTTCACACCATGCTTCAGATTTTCCTTGCCAGCAAAACATCTGACAACGTCTAGTATATAATTATAAACTTGAATAAAGACGAATTTCATTTGCCTAAAACCAAATAAGACCATGAAAAGCTGCTAGTTTCAAGTGAAGAAGTTTTGTAAGCTCAACCATTATTGTAACAAACTTCAATCCCCCCAACTAAACCATCAAAGTTAGACCATAATATTTTTCATCATTTCACGCATATGGATGCAACATTTTTAAGTTATCTTTGAGGAGATATATCAGTGCTTAGCAGAAATTCTAATCAATAAGTTATCCTTGACGATGTATATCAATGCTTAGCAGAAGTTCTAATCAGATAGTAGCAAAGAATCAAAAAGAATCTTGCATAAATCAAATCTAGCTATTTTATATTCCTCTTAATTCAATGTAGAACTCCAAATGAAATGCTACAGATCGTACTGGTCACCAATGGTTTTGCTACCACATCACTCATCACCAAAGGACTACACGTCAGTATACCAATAGGTATAGCCTGGACTGTGTATACGACTTGCCAACACAGTCAACAAGCCACCACTATTCGACGATCTTCCTATAGAGAAGTCGCATCTTCAACACCCCAACATCTCACCTCATCTCAATATTGCCATATGATACTCCAATACAGCGCCTAAGAATTAAAACTACAACCTGCAGTGTTCATCAGTTATCAGATTTTCTCGTGGATTCTAATGAGATCATTCTCAGCCGGTGAGCCAACCTAAACTTATGAATCCCCAATTCTGGCTGATCTAGCCTCAAAGCATAGAGTAAGAGGGGAATAATGGCAGCAACAGCAGCAGCATTAACCTCATAAGATATTTAGCCATTAAGATCTGCCTCGTACTCTATTCCTTGCTAAGATTTGACCTCTGGTTCATCAACTCCAATTGCAGAGAACTAACGGTGTTCCAACTTCTGAGGATGGGTTCAATATCCCTTCTTCTAATAAGCTGCTGAAGGTGAAAGGGAAGTTGCTAATTTTAAAGCTAGCACCTCGAATCAGATCGCTTAAGCATTATCAAGTAACCCATTACCATTACTAGAGTACGACTTTCAGCTCAAACTGCTCGAATCACTTAAACAAGAACTGGCTAACACCAAATTGGAACCCTCAACTCCAACAAATGGGGAAATAACTTGTCGCCATAGCAGAAATCGGAGCACCCAATTGCCACCCACTCCAACCAAATTAAACCATAACTGATTCCAAATGCATACCTAGACATAGCGGCAGATGCTCGGGTATGTAAATATCTAGAACCAGAGGCGGAGATTGAACTTACGCTCGCGAGTGATTTGCTTGAAATTCTTGTAGTCGGCACCGTAGGAGGAGGATGAGGAATCGGAGTCGGAGAACGACATGGCTACCCGGTCAACTCGGCTTCGATGCTGCAAATGATTCTCCCGCCGGCCGGACGATCGGGTGGATCCAGCAACGAGGATTCGCAGGAGGGAGGCAGGGGAACGTGCAGTGATCGAAGTAGAGAGAGGACGAAAAAGGTGTCGAGAGAGAGATCAAAAATTGAAAAGCAAGCGTGACGGGGACGAGGAAGGAGAGAAGAAAATGAGAGGACAATTATGATTATTATTAATATTTTTTTTCTTAAACACGAAGGTAAATAGGGTTTGTCTGTTTTTTACCGGTTAAATTGCAAGTTTGGTCACTCGAATTGCTACAAAATTTCATGTTTGGTCACTCGAATTCATTTATTTCATTCGTAGTCACTTAAATTAATTGAATAGTCCAAGTTCGGTCACTCTCCGTTAAGCTCCGTCAGACTCCGTTAGTGTCGTCAGTTAACTGCTGACGTGGCTAACAGAGATGTCTAGTCACCCAATTTTAACCTAAGAAAAAACAGAAATTGATCCGCCACGTCAGAAAAACATGCCACCTCATATAAACACAACCCAACCCACCCAACCTAAAAAAACCATTAACCCACCCAGAAATCGAACCCGTGACCCATCCACCCTTCCTCTTCCTCTATACCCTACATCTGCCGCCGGATTTCCCCTCCATCTCCATGCTACAAAACCGTCATTTCTAACTTAGCCATGAACAATTACCCAAATTCGATCAAACAAGGCAACCAAGGAACACACAATCAGAATTTCAATTACCCAAAACAGCATCCATTACCCAAATTGAAGAGGCGAACAAAGAAGGGAAGCAATAAAGGACTCACATTGCTCCCCCAACGATCGCGAGCGTCGATATTGGCCCTCCGGCTAAGCAAAAGCTTGACGACCTCTGCGTGTCCCTTGCAGGCGGCAATGTGGAGCGCGGTCCTCCCATTGAGGTCGATGCTGTTGACATCAATCCCTTCGTTAAACAAATCCTCGACCCCTCGCGCGTCGCCGCGGGACGCCATGAACAATAGCTGCATCGTGCAGTCCAAGTTCTCCGGGACCGCCAGCAGCTCCTCCTTGATCGGGCTCCGCCGTATGGGACCCAGCGACGACTGCCGGCCGAAGCTGAACCGATAAAGGGGAAATCCCCCGGCGGCGGCAGATGTAGGGTATAGAGGAAGAAGAAGAAGGGTGGATGGGTCACGGGTTCGATTTCTGGGTAGGTTAATGGTTTTTTTTAGGTTGGGTGGGTTGGGTTGTGTTTATATGAGGTGGCATGTTTTTCTGACGTGGCGGATCAATTTCTGTTTTTTCTTGGGTTAAAATTGGGTGAATAGACATCTCTGTTAGCCACGTCAGCAGTTAACTGACAGCACTAATGGAGTCTGACGGAGCTTAACGGAGAGTGACCGAACTTGGACTGTTCAACTAATTTAAGTGACTACGAATGGAATAAACGAATTCGAGTGACCAAACATGAAATTTTGTAACAATTCGAGTGACCAAACTTGCAATTTAGCCGTTTTTTACCGTTTAACTCATTAATAATTCTGCCGTCCACAAACGGTTAAAGAAATGTTGACGACTAGGTCCTATAAAAAAATGTGGACGACTAGTCTATCTGGAAAGAAACTTGTTAAATAGTACAATAATGAATGTATTTTATGCTTGTTAAGAATATGAAAATGTTCGTTTGTATACGAAAATGATAATTGCATTAGTTGATTATTTATTTTTTCATGGATATTATTATATAATTACATTTGATTATATATTTACATTATATACAAATTAAAAAGGACACAACTAATTTGAACCCTCTCTCCGTCACTGCTTAGCTAGATTGATCTCGAAAAGGACATACTATTTTGGTCTCTTATTCAACTTTTATTACCATATTATAACAAATAGATTAAGTTGTTACACTAAAATTTATAAGGGTAATGTCTATTTTTTACCCAAATCTTTTTCAGATTCTTTTATTTTAACCAAACCTATTGAATTCCTAAAAATTATCCAAACGTTAACTCTCCGTCAACTTTTCTGTTAGTAATGCTTACTGTTCGTGCCCGGTAACTAGGCGCCCCGAACCTCCGCGTACGACCCTCTCGGCACGCCCACACCTGCACGCAGCACGGCTAAGGAGAGTCCTATGGAGGACTCGTTAGCACTCCAACGCTCAAGTCAGATCCCCTTTCTAGAGAGAGAAGTGAATAGTAATTTTAGAGAGAAGTTCCAACCTGAGTAAATGAGGTTCACCAACTCTCCTTTTATACCTCGGGCCTGGCCGACCGACATCCCCGTCTCCCGCCTGTCGTCTGACCCGCATTAAATGTGCCGTACGACCAGGTCCCATGCGCCTCGACCACCTGACACCGTACCCAGCCATTCGAGGCGCATGACGTCAAGTGGTCCCTCCTCCGTACCCTCCTTCCCTCTGCGACTCCTTGTCGCATGCGCCCGGTGTCAGAGCCTGGGCCCCACATGGCCTGGTGCTCCTCTTTGATGAATGGGCCAACTCCCCCATGCCCCCTTGGGCCCATTGGGTCATGCTCCACTACCTAGCCTAGCCTGCCTAACTTCTCACTCTTGGGCCCTGTCAGCGTGACCCCTTTTGGGCCGCGGTCATGCCCCCAACAATTGCCCCCCCAGCCAGGTGCCTACGGCCCTTTTGTAGGCGCCTGACTGGGCCTCTTGAGCGCCCTCTCCTTGCTCTGTGCGCCTTGCCCCCCGATTGGCCCATTCCAAGCCTGTCGCTCCCGTGCGCCTCGTCCTCTTCGCCCAGCCGTAATCCTTTCGGCTTCTCTTTCCCTTACCATCATTATGAGGTTCTCGGGACTCCCCCCCTATCAAGACCTTTGGACTTCCCCCTTACCCGTTTGTGCGACCCCTGGTATTCCCCCACTCCGCGGGACTTTTTGGTTTCCCCTATTACTCGCATGACTCTTGGGTTTCCCCTATTACTCCCCCCTAGTCCGTTTGGAAATTTGAATTTCGAATTTCAAACTTCGAAACGGACTAGCACCCTCTCTTGCCGCTCCCCTCTCACTATAAATACTTCCTCCCCCCCCCCCTCATGTCACTCTCACTTGCTTCCCTTTGCTCTGACCTCTCTCCTCCTTGCTCTGACCTCTCTCTTCTTTCTCTCACTAAGCCGTCGCCGTTTTTCCCCAGCGCTCCCTCTATGTCGACCTCTCAGCAACCCGGGAAGGCGCGCACGGCGCCCGTGGCTGGTGCGCCACGAACTTCAGGCGCTGCGCCTCAAGGTACAAACTCTTCTCCTTGAATATTTTTTTTTTTTTTTTTTTTTTAAATACTCCCTCGGCGCTTCCTTTGCGCCTTACTTCCTCCGTCATCCTTCGTTCCTGATGCGCCTCTTATGCCTCTCTTCGAATTCCTTTCTGATCAATCTGTGCCCCTTGCCCCAGGCCCTGACGCATCGCAAAGCTATGCGTTTTGCTCGTGGGAATCGACTTGGGCCTCGGGGCAAGCGCCTGGCAACATCGCTAGTATGCCCGTGGAGTCCGCGGGTCCGAAACACCCCTCCAAAACTCTGCTCGTGCGCCTTGAAAAGTTGTTGGTGGCCGCGCAGATGCCAGCGCCTTGGCAGTATTGCCATGCGCCCCGACGGGCCCGGATAGGCGTCTGCGGCGACAGCGGCTGGACGGGAATTTACCAGGAATTCATAAGGTTTGGCCTGCGCTTTCCTTTGGACCCCGTTCTTGAAGGGGTCCTCGATGCGTGCCAATGCCCGCTGGCGCGCCTCTCACCTGCTGTTGTGTTATACTCAGTCCTCTTCCGCCATAAGTGTCGGCTGCTTGGCATCGTACCCACCTTTAAACTCTTCAATCACTTTTTCTATATGTCGCGGAGTACCAACTGCCTTATCCTTAATAAGCGCAAAAAGTTAGGATATAGCTTCATCCATGACTGCCAAAAAATGGGGCGCACGTGGTTTGATTCATATTTTTACGTGCGCCCCCGAGAGGTCCCCTTCTACGCCAGCGGGCGCCCCGCGCCGATGGAGTGGTCGCTAGGAACTCCCCATTACTTCAATAAGCCCTCTCCTCTAAACAAGTCGGAATTAGACTGCGCTAAGCGCCTTTCCGAGGAGCCTTTTGACCTGACCGACGATGATGCCTACGTGCAACTATTGGCCGATTTTTACCAAGATGGTATTCTGGCTTGTGCGCCTTGCTTCTCTACTTTGGTATGCGCCCTTGCTCTATTCGCTGACTCTCATCTTCTCTTACACTCTTGCAGGTACCGACTTCACGTCAGTGACGTCCATCATCCGCTCTCGGCTGGGGATTGGTCAGGATCCCGGGAGCCCCCCCCCAGCGACTGGCGTCTCCGGGCCCTCTGCTTCCGCGCCTCCGAGGCGCACGATCCGAATCAAGGGGAAAGGTAAGGCGGTCACTTCCGCGTCCGCTTCGGGCGCCTCGGGTGGGGCTTCTCCCCATCAGAGCTCTGACCGGGCCGCAGGTGGCCCGTCCGCCTCGGCTGGCGCTACCGCGCGAGAGCGCACACGCTCCCCCACAACCCCTGCCTCCGAATCCGCTCCTCAGACAACAAGGGAGGGGGGTGCGCCTTCCTCCCCATCACCTACCACCAGGAAGAGGTCCGGGGGCGTCCAAGACAACCCTGCCAAGAGGGCGAAGGCGCCTCCGGCTGGTGCCACTGGGCTGCCACCCAGCTTCATGGCGCCCACAATCGGGCCGCATACTGGCCAGGAGATTCCCCCCTATCTCCAACCTCCGAGGCGCCCGTTGACCAAGGTTGCGGTTGACCTACCCGTGAGAGCGGCCAAGGAGCTCGGCGCCGCCGCCGCGTGGGCGCGCTCGCAGTACGACGTGGTGGAGCATCCGGCGGGCCTGATCTCCAACAAGCCCTGGCGCATGATGACCAACCTCACCGCGCAAGTAAGTATATTGGCCCTACCCCACGTGTTTTTGCCTCTGTCGCTTTATTTAGTTGGTCTGTATGTTTCCCCCCTCTTTTTTTTTCTAACTTTTCCCGTACGCCACAGATGATGCTCCTTTGCGAGGCCACCGCTCGCGAGGTAGACAACATCCGGCATGAAGGCGCACTGGCCTCCAAGGACGCTGCACGCCTCCAATCCGACCTGGAGGCTGCTGATAAGCAGCGGGCGGAGCTGACTTCTGCATGCGACGAGGCGCGCAAGAGGGCTTCGGACGCTGCTGCGCAGCTCGAGGAGAAGTTGGAGGCGGAACGCACGAAGGTGCGCCTTGAAGAGCAGGCGCGGCATGCGAGGGAAGAGGAGGCGCTCCGAGAGAGGGAAAGCGCCTTGGTCAGGGAGCGCGACGCCCTCCTTGTGGAGAGGAATGCCCTCCGCGAGTCAGTGCGTGACCTGGAGGATGCCGGCAAGAAGGCTAGGAAGTCCAGCAGGCGCTATCACCGGGACCTGAAGAAGGCCCGAGTTGTAGTGGAGGGCCTGAAGCGTAATCTGGATAACTACAAGGACACCACCGCCGGGAAGAATCTTCAAGCGGACACTATCATTAGCACAGTGGAGATTGCTCAGCAGAAGCTGAACGCCGACCACCCAGACTGGGTCTTCGATGCCATGGACTTGATGACTCACATCATTGGCGCGATGGAGCAGGCAACTCCGGAGGGCGGGGAGGAGCAGGCGCAGGGCGCAGAGAGTGAGGCGCCGGGGGGAGATGAGCAGGGCGTGGAAGATCAAGGCGCAGAAGGCGAAGGCGTGGACGGCCAAGACGCGAGTGGCCAGGACGCTGGCGAGCGGGTGGATCTCAGCGGCAGTGATGCATCGGACGGCGGTGATGATGGTGAGGAAGATAGTGAAGAGGAGGTCGAGGTGGAGGCTTGATGTGAGGGTGTTCTTTGGATGTGACTTGTTATGAGATGTGTTATGTTTTTCTGTTGATGTTAAGACTTTAGATGCTAAGATATTTTCTTTCCATTGTCCGTCCATTCCCGCTTGTGGTGCTAAGACATTTTCTTTCTTCATTCCCCTTCCCGCTCAACTTGCGATTTATAGGGTTTGAACAATATTGTCTATGGCGCCTCGTTCTTGGGCATTTCGCGGGGCGATGGATATCAATATGGGACGAGAATTTTCACACAAGTCAAACTTTCAGAGGGCGCTAACTGGCCAGGGCGCTTTACGGCACAACACTTACGCAAGCAATCTGACTACGAAGGGCGCAGGTGGTTGGGCGCTTTATTCTTGTGGCGCGAGGTCGTGGGC